CTGGACATGTCCAAACCACTGTCCCTCCTCTGGACATGTCCAAACCATCTCAGTGTGTCCTCTCTAACTTTATCTCCCAGTTGTTCAACCTGTGCTGTACCTCTGATGATCTCATTCCTGATCTTCTCCATCCTTGTCTCTCCTAAGAGGAACCTCTACATCTTCATTTCTGATTCACTTCCAGTTCTGTCTCCTGTCTTTTTGTCCATGTCTCTGTCTCCAGACCATACGACAGAGCTGGTCCCACCACTGTCTTGTGAAGTTTTGACCTTTGCTGACACCCTTTGGTCTCAAATCTCTCCTGAATCTTTTCTCCATCCACTCCATCCTGCCTGGACTCTCTTCTTCACCTCACTCCTTACACATCTATAAAACCAGATATTAAAATTGATGAAAAATAGAGTCAAGGTCGTCGCCCAAAGTAAATTCAGGTTAAATGATGTCATGGACAGTTCAAGCATTTCATTTATTCCACCAAATAAAACTGAAAACCATGTTTTCCACATTCTTGCTGCTCCTGGAAAGCTCGTGTTCTGGAGGCTCTTCTGTTCTCGCCCCGGGTCATTGAGTGTTGACAGGAAAAGAGTCAAATTCACTTCCTGACAGTTCACGAAGGTTTCTGCAGCAATGACAGCAGCGGCTCCCGGGAGCTGCAGCAGGGACTCGTGTCAGGTGCAGACTGATTTCTAAAGGCTTGTGGAGCGACGTCCCGCCTGGACTCAGAATAAAAACCTTCCCGAGGAGGCGAGGCGCCGTCTCCCAGGTGCTGACTGTCGTGCACAAAGTGAGCTCCTCCGTGAAGCATCAGTGATGAGGAGCGGCTGGTTTCAGTGCAGAGGTCAGGAGGAAACAGATCTTTGAGGTCGAGCTGAACTCTGCTCAGCACGACTTCTGAGGAGGACACGAGGAAATTCATGCACGTGCACAGATGGTGGCATGAATATGTTTAGTTGTAGCCGAAGTGCTGCCAAAAGTTGAGCTCAGATTCAGTCCAACAGGCTTTTTTCCTCTTTTCCTGTCGACGTTAATCTTTCTGTGCTTTGAGCACCTTTGACGTCACAGAAAGTTCAGACTGATCTCTACGAAGTGAAGAATTAAAAATGGAAGGAACTGATCAGAAAGCACAATCAGTGGCAGAACTGTTGACACTGACTCGAGAGCAAACAACTGTTGTTGTTGTGATGTTTGCAAATTAAATCCCTGGGCTGTTAAAAAAGACTAAAATGTTTCAATCTGTAAATCTTCAGCAAAACGAGCTCGAGGGGCAGATTTAGTTTTAGCAGACATTAAAGAAGATGCATGAATGATCATGAATAAATGTAACATTTGTTGCTTTCCATCGTTTTAAAATAAGACGTTACACAATCTGTTATCACTCAGCTACCACCGAACCAAAGTTTAGCTCGAGTTCTGTAAAAATGCCACTTTTGTGTTTGCCAAGATCAAATAGCTGTAGCGGCCATCTTGAATTAATAATAATAATCGGTTGCAGACGTACACCCAGTGATTATTTTTCAAGAGTTTCACTCAAATCCATCCAGTGGTTCGTGACATATTTTGCTAACAGACAGACAAACAGGCAGCATGACCACCTGCCTTTTAATGCAGCAGGTAAAGAAGCAGGTTTAAAACGTAGAAAACGGGACTCCACATTCTTCATCAAAATTTCTAAATGACTGAATTATCTGTAAAAAGTGATGTGAACATCTGGACTCGAGGAGAAACTCCATGTTCCCGACTCATTTCAACAAATTTCTTAATTAGACGCTAAACGGATTTACAGGCCGGACTGTTGCGTAAACTGTGTGAGATTCTGTTTACCAGGAAGGATCCTCTGAGCACAGGGGACGAATGTTCAGAGGAGAAATGTCTTTGAGGACGTTCGTCTGAACTCGGCCCGAGTCCAAAACAAAGAAAATTAGAGCCCGAGGGCGGAAACGCTGCAGAAACACTGAACCAGTGAGCTGCAGAAGAACAGATTAAAATAATGAAGCTGGTTCCAGACTGAACAATTACCATGGTGGATCTCTCTACTTATGTAACGGGCCATAAACCGGGCCTCTGGGAGCAGGTGGTGTTTTTATTTCATTGTGTAAAATTCAAAAGGTGCGTTTGGATGAAACTGTGAAGTGCTGAGTAATAAATCAAAGCTGGAGCTGCTCACATCTACAACTCGACCGTACTGTCTTCGTGACGTCGCCCCGCAGCTCGGTCGCTCTGGATTATTGGTCTGGGGGCGAAAACGCCAGTCGGCGTTTAGATTCTGTTCAACTCGCTCTCGTTTCGTCCCTCCAGGGTACATCGAGGAGGCGTGCATCATCCCCTGCCCGTCCGACTGTAAGCTCAGCGAATGGTCCAACTGGTCGCGCTGCAGCAAGTCCTGCGGAAGCGGAGTGAAGGTTCGCTCCAAATGGCTCCGGGAGAAACCCTACAACGGGGGCCGGCCGTGCCCCAAACTGGACCACATCAACCAGGTACCCAGATGGAACGGTCCGAGAATAAACCAAAAACTGCGGCTTTCAGCTGGACTCGGTTTTATAAAACTCCATATTTATTATTTATTATGTCACTTTTACCAGGATAAGAGTACATATCAGGGATTAGAGGAAATTTAATCTGGATCAATCCGTCGTCTTCTGTCCCTTCAGCTCATTGAGTCTGAATCAGCCACATCTGTTTAGATCTAACCAGGTTGAGTCCGGTCCTCTGGACGGATTCTTCCTGTTCAAACGTTTCATCTTTTATCCAAAGGACTTCTTCAGTCTGAGGAGCTGCAACAAACTCAGTCTTATAAACATCACCTTCTCGTGGTGGATCAACCAGTTTGTTGTCAGTGATACAGGAGGACCATCAGCCTGATGATTGATCTGTTTATAGTTTTCACGTCTCCTGTTTGTCATTCTTTGAGACATTTCATACTTCTGCACCGATTCTTGCTGCTAAATTAACCTTTTATAAATCCAAAATTAGATCAATAATCAATCATAGTCCAACTTTAAGCTGTAATCTTTATGCTTTTTAATTATTTACATTTATTAACAAAAGCAACTTCATAAAAATACATCCATATCTTGTGTTGCCTTCAGTTTAGCTTTTAGCTACTGTGCTGCTTAATTTAGCTTTGGGCTTCAGTGTTGCGATATTATCTTTTAGTAGCTTGTTTGCTAATTTTAGCTTCTAGCTACGGTTTTGTTCATTTTTATCGTTAAATACATTTTGAGCATTTTAGCCGTATCCTATGATTTTTTTAATTTTAGCTTTCAGCTACTATTTTGCAGATTTAGCCTTTAGCTTTGGTTTTGCTGCATTTACCTTCAACAGTTTTGTGATTTGTAGCTTTCAGCGACAGTTTTGGTAATTTTAACTTTTCACTGCAGTTTTGTTACCTTAGTTTAGCTCAGTTAATTTTAGCTAGCAGCTACAGTTTTGTTTAAATATAATTTTGATCATTTTATCTGTAAGCAATAGTTTAGCCTCGTTTAGATTTTAGTTACCGTTTTGCCTTTAGCTTCCGTTGTGCTCGTTTTAACTGCATTAATTAATTCAGCACTCACAGCTGATTTCACACAAAAGTTTTATTTTTGCTTTCTGTTTTCAGGTAATCAGTGACACTGATGAAACCAGTGCTTTAAATTAATTTACCAAATAAATAAATAACGTGACTCCTGGGTTTCAGGCAGAGTCGGACTGAAGTTGTGTCCCTCAGTGGTTTTTATCCCGGAGGCCGTTCAGACTTTTCTCTGAAATGTTGCATCACTCAGGCTCTGCACGGTTTGAGCTGTTGACTTGTGCTCATTAATCCATCTGTCTGTTTTTAATCCACTGCCACCCTCGCTGGATGGGACTCGGTGCCACAGGCTCAGGTAAGCGCCGCTCTCCTCGGCTGTTTGTAACGTTGTAGCGGATGTAAATTGTCAGACGTGTCAGCGTGGCGGTGGCTGATAAATGCACGTCGCCACTGTATTTCAGAGCCTTCAGCGCGGCTCTGTAGCCTGCTGGAGTTGCATTCAGCTTTTCTCCAGGGCTTTCCTGCGAGTAGAAATAATCTTGTCGGCAGAGTTAAATCTCAGAAAGCTGAGTCAGTGTTGGGCAAACAGCTGATAGACGTGCACGTCCAAGACCAAACTACAGAAGAAACAGAGTTTTCTTCTCCAGCATGAAGATTCCTCTGCTCCTTCAGTTCTGCTGAGTTAAAGGTGCTTCTGGCCCTCAGGTGTATGAGGTGGTGCCGTGCCAGAGCGACTGCAATCAGTACGTTTGGGTCACCGAGCCCTGGAGTGTGTGGAAAGTCAGCAACGTGGACCTGAAGGAGAACTGTGGGGAAGGTGTCCAGACCAGAAAAGTCAGGTACTCCCAAACTTGTGTCGAAGTCTAGAAACCTGTCCATCCATCCATCCGTCCGTCCATCCACCCATCCATCCATCCATCCATCCGTCCACCCACCCATCCATCCATCCATCCGTCCACCCACCCATCCATCCATCCGTCTGTCCACCCACCCACCCATCCATCCACCCACCCATCCATCCATCCATCCGTCCACCCACCCATCCATCCATCCATCCATCCGTCCGTCCACCCACCCACCCACCCAATCCATGTTCAGAAAATCACGTCAGAATTAATAAATGGAAGCACAGCTGTTCTCTGCTTCCTGACATGAAAAAAAATTCAGTTTCAATTCAATTCAAAAATACTTTATTAATCCCAGAGGGAAATTATTTGTTGTAGTATCTCGTTATCCTCATTTCATTAAGAGATGTTGTAGATGTCTTTTTTTTTTTTTTTTTTT